AGGTTTTTTAAGAGGTTCAGGCCATACATCTGAGTGAGTGGGTTGATGCCATTTATGGTCTCCAAATAGTTAATACTGCTTCTGAATTCTTCTGTCTGTCCATGTTCTGATCCATTCTCTCTGTCTTCTAAACCTTCCATAGTCTCTTCAAAGCCCCTTCAACATTCTCATTCTTCATTCATTTGAAGAATTCCCTTCATAATTCTCCCGACCTTTCTAAGCAGATTACTTTGCTTCATATTTCAGAGAGAAAACTTCAGTGATCTGCCATGAACTTCTTGTTTCTACTTCTCTCACTTCAAAGAGAAGTCTACACACTCTGACTCCTTTTTCCCCCACCTATTTAATCCATAGGAATCTGACTTGTTTCCGCCACCCCACAAATAAGTGTTAGTATTGTCACTGGTATCGAACTCGTGCACTCTTCTTTGGAAACTCAGAGTCTTAACCACTGCACCACCAGAAAATGCCTGGTTTGTCCAGTATTAGTCAATGCTGTCTTCTGACAAATGTTGACAAATACTTTGACAACAAGCATCCATGGTCCTGTTCTTTTAAAAAGTTGATTCCAGATGCCAAGAACATCATTTCCTGCTCTCTTTGCCTGGTTTATCTCTATGTAGATTTCATATCTCATTTCCTCAAGGAGGTCTTCCCTCCCCTGCGGCTGGCTTAAGGCCTTTAGCAATATGCTTCCATAGCACCCTGTGAGTCCACTTTCACCATATTTATTGGTCATGTGATTCGTACTCAGTGGTTATATTCCTCCTCCACTGATGTATCTGCGAGATCATCGTGCAGACCTGGTCTCCTGATCACTAGCATTGTGCCTATAGTGGACTTGATCAGACTGAGAGAGAGCTCAGTTTCCATAATTGCAAAAGTTATCACGTTCCTACCTCTCAGGGATAATGTGATTATTAACAAGCAAATATTTCTCACTATGTAGCATACTGACATGACACCAAATATACTGAATATAAAAAATGAGAACTCTTCTGTAACCTTAATTAGACTGAAGTCAGTCAAATATTTAAATGCAGATGGGAAACATTTTGAGAGGCAGAATAGCATAGTGTTTAAAAGCACAGGATCTCTTAAGAGAACAGACTGTGTATGATTTCAGTAGCTTTAGACCATGAAATTTTTGCATCCTGTTTGACACCCCTGGATATGTTCCAGTCTCTCCTGGTTTACAGTCTATGGGAACTGGAATAGAACTTGTATTCCGCTGTTGTGTGAAAATTGTATAAATCTTCATTATGTTGAATTTGTTCACAATGCTTTTCAGGTTCACTACTTCCTTCAACTTTTCTGTCTGTTATTTCTATTAATTTTTGAGAGTTAGCTATTTAACTCCAACTAAAAATCTTAATTTATCTACTTAAAAAATAATTGTAATATACAGTGGAACTGTATGTAACTTTGTTCTGCATTTTCCAAGTCACCTGTAAATGTTATCATACTTTCATAATTTTTAAAAACAGCGTTGAATCCCTGAGCTCTATGACTTATATGAGCTCCGCCATTTAATAATTATGTGACTATTGACAGCTTCCATAACTTAATTGACACCTTTCTCCTAGTCTGCCTTTCCTTATTTGTTAAAATGGAGAAAATAATGCTACTTATTGGCTTATTGTAGTGTCTAAAATAAGATATGTAAAGTGCTCAGATATGTATGTGAGAATTGGACTGTAAAGAAAACTGAGCACTGAAGAATTGATGCTTTTGAACTGTGGTGTTGGAGAAGACTCTTGAGAGTCCCTTGGATAGCAAGGAGATCCAACCAGTCCATCCTAAAGGAAATCAACCCTGAATATTCATTGGAAGGACTGATGCTGAAACTGAAGCTCCAATACTTTGGCCACTTGATTCAAAGAGCCAACTCATTGGAAAAGACCCTGATGCTGGGAAAGATTGAAGGTGGGAGGAGAAGGGGATGACAGAGGATGAAATGGTTGGAAAGCATCACTGACTCAATGGACATGAGTGAGTAAACCCTTGGAGTTGGTGATAGACAGGGAGGCCTGGCATGCTGCAGTCCATGGGGTTGCAAAGAGTCAGAAACCACTGAGCGACTGAACTGAACTGAACTATTGGGTTATTGAACCTCCATGAAGATGAGGAGGACTGTTACCTCTATTGGTCATTGAAAGTGAAAAAGTGAAAATCTCTCAGTTTTGTCTGACTCTTTGCAATCTCATGGACTATACAGTTCATGGAATTCTCCAGGCCAAAATACTGGAGTGGGTATTCTTTCCCTTCTCCAGGGGATCTTCCCAACCCAGGGATCGAACCCAGGTCTCCTGCATTGCAGGCAGATTCTTTACTAGCTGAGTCACAAGGGGAGCCCAAGAATACTGGAGTGGGTAGCCTTTCTATTCTGCAGCAGATCTTCCCAACCCAGGAATCGAACCGGGGTCTCCTGCATTGCAGGTGAATTCTTTACCAACTGTACTCTCAGGGAAGCCCCTATCGGTCATTGCTATAACCAGTCCTTGGCTTAGCGTGAGCACTTATGCCCAGTACAGAACAGATGAGTTGAATGAGTGGCCAGACAGGCAGGTGTGGATTGTATTAATGGATGTTGAGTTCATTTCTGTAGATTTTTGCAAGTCTAAGTGAGTATTTCATTCTACTCTCAGAAAAAAATGAAAAAAATTTTTTTTTGGCTACATGGCATGTGGGGTCTTATTTCTCAGACCAGAAATCAAACCTATATGCCCTGCAGTGGAAATGTGGAGTCTTACCACTGGACTGCCAAGGAAGTCCTGCCAAACCCAGAAAATTGCAAAAATAATTTACATTCAAAATTAGAGGATAATAAAATAATCAGGCTAAACTATTGCTGGAGCTTGGACATCAATTTTAAGTGGGGTTATTATAGTCTAGACATGAAATTCATAGTATGCCAAAAACTAGTACTTTAAAAAAAAACAGTAAGGATGAGATGACCTCTTTTTAGAAAATATAATTACCTGTAGTCTGTGGTTGTTTGGGCAGACAATAGATGTTTTGTAGTGAGCTACCCTGATTTTTAAGAGAAGTAAGCTTTGTACTTGATGTATAAGTATGCAGTTCTTCTTTTATACATCCTCAGGTGCCTTCAGAGGTGAACCAAAAAGAAATATAAGCCCTGTGATTAACTTGCTCACAATAACTGCAACTTAATTCACTGCATAGACTCACAGAATGACTAGCTATTTTGGTCAAGTCCCTAATTTTATAGATAAAGACTTTGGAGCCCACTTCACACAAGTTCACACAGGCCTCTTTCAATCCTATGCTGTGAGTCTAGTCGACTCAACAGTGTACAGATTACTGTGTTAGGAGCTGCGACAAAGGCAGAGATGAAGAAACAGGGCCTATGGGGAGATGCTACAAATACATGGATCTGTAATACAGAGCATAACGCAGTAAGTACCATGGGCAATGTGCAAATTGTAAGACTTCAAAAATTTCAGGTAGAGGGAGATTACAATTTTAAAACCACGTGTCTTAAGAAAACCATTGTGAAGGCAATACCATAGCGACACTAAACGACATCATATGAAGCAGAATTGTAACAAGCAGGTGAAAGCAGGAGAGGGGGCTAGCCACAGCTGCTGCCGTGGAGATGAGAGAGGACGGGGTGAGTTCAGGGACCACACGCGTAAGCAAGTGATGACCTGAAACCAGGGCTGCCTGGAGAGAGTGAAGCTGCGTTTGAAGGACTTTGAGGCCAGTCTGAGGGACAGTGGGGGAGAGGGAGCCCAAAACAGAAACCACATTTTAGCGGTGCTTAAAAAAAGTGAATAAACCTCTAATTTTATTATAACTTATTTGGATGCATGTTTATAGGGTTTCCTGAAGAGTGGTCCACTTTCTGGAACCACCAGCTCCGATGGCCCTGCTCCTCTCCACTCTGTTATGAGCTGTGGTGCATGGGCGCAGCAAACTGGTTGGGGGATGACTAGGGTCTACTAGGGTCTGGCTGCAGCCCTGCAAAGTCCCAGGCCACATGAAAGGGATGGAGGGCTCGGTATGACTCCTGGGGCTCTCCTCCTTTTCTTGCCTGTCCCCAGTGTTTGCAAACCAATTCTCTGGCTCAGGCCACCTGGAAATTTTGTAGGGGTGGGGGTGGGGGGGGGGAGGAAAGAGAAAGGAGCAGTGGAGAAATTGAATCTCATAGAATCTCAAAGCGAGAAGTCTAGGCTCACCTCCGCAGCACCAGGACACAACTGACTAGATGTGATTAAAGCAATTAACAAACAGAAACTGAACACCCACCACGTGCAAATTACCACACCGTGGGGAAATCGAAGAGGTGGACATTGCTGTAATTCAGGGGGGAAATTGTTAGCTCCACAACAATAATAGCTGGTATTCATATAGTGCTTGAAGCTTGAAGAGCTTTTCTTGCAGGATAGCTCATTTGGTCCTGTTGTTGCTGCTGCTACTAAGTCGCTTCAGTCGTGTCCGACTCTGTGCGACCCCATAGATGGCAGCCCACCAGGCTCCCCCGTCCCTGGGATTCTCCAGGCAAGAACACTGGAGTGGGTTGCCATTTCCTTCTCCAGTGAGTGAAAGTGAAAAGTGAAAGTGAAGTTGCTCAGTCGTGTCTGACTCCTAGCGACCCCATGGACTGCAGCCTACCAGGTTCCTCTGTCCATGGGATTTTCCAGGCAAGAGTACTGGAGTGGGGTGCCATTGCCTTCTCCCATTTGGTCCTAATAACCCTCATAATAATGGATGTCATTCATGCTGTCACTTTCACAAGAGGAAATGGATTTCAGAGCAGTTAAGTGCATCTAAATTCATATAGCTAGGACTGAGACTAGGACCAACATCTTCCGATGATAAAATTCAGTGTCCTTCTCTTTAACCACACAGGCTAATGGAAGCTGACGTAAATATTTCCAATTCATGGATATGTTATAATCATGGAGCCAAATTCATTCTTTTTACACAGCTTATTAATTAGTGCACCCACAGGAGAATAAAAGCAAAACCCTTACCTTCTGCCACAGTTACCACCAGCCAGCAGACCAACAGCCAGTGGGAGAAGCAGGGTCCGTGAGCCATGGCTTCCACTCTGAGCAGTCACTGCCTCGAACCCAGCGTGGCTTTAAAGGGGGTGGGTGAGTCACCCACAGCTTGATTCAGGGAGTTGTATTTGCATAATGGACCACAGCGAGCAGGTCCTGTGGTGTGAGGGTAAGAAGTCAGCAAGGAAATACCAGACAGTATTTATCAAGCAGAGCCTCTTGTAATGACGGCCAAACATCATTTATCCATCCTTGACTGGAGTTGGATTGTGGACAACCACACCCTCGCTATACTTCTAATTCCTTCAAATCTTTTCTTCTCTTTCCTTGGTGTGTATAGGTCTCCTCAGCAAGAGGAAGGATCTCTCCAGGAAATATTCCACACTGTTTCCTTCTGTATAGCTTACTTCACAAAGCCAAACAGGATGGAGAGGGCGTTATCCAAAGGCTCAGGGACCGAAGCGGTTTGATGAGACTGTTTACAGGTTTCAGATGAGAGATTATGTTTTTTCTGCTTTGGTTCAGGAGCCAAGACCACAGTTGAAAAACTGTCTTCTCTAGTAGCCATCATGGTCGTTGTCTAAACAGACATGAAAATTTTGGGAGATTAATTTACTGAGTTGTCCTTTCAGGACTCCCTCTGATTCACCAAATTGCCCCAAAGATGCCCAGTGTTTTTCCTGTCAGCTACTGGAGGAATGGGAGGGGATGGTCACAAGTGATTAAAAGCATGGACCCTGCATCTAGGGATGATCATACTAAGTAAGTCAGAAAGACAAATATTGTATGAAATCCATGTGGAATCTAAAATATGGCACAAATGAGCTTATCTATGAAACAGAACAGACTCACAAACACAGAGAATACATCTATGGTTGCCAAGGGGATGTGGGGCACTAGGGGAGAGATGGATTGGGAGTTTGGGATTAGCAGATACAAACTTATGTATAGAATGGATAAACAACAAGGTCCCTACTGTTTAGCCCAGGGAACTATGTTCAATATCCCGTGATAAACCATAATGGGAAAGAATATGAAAAATGAGCATACAGGTGTATAATTGAGTCACTTTGCTGTATAGTAGAAATTAACACATTGTAAATAAACTATACTTAAATAAAATAAAGGTTAAAAAAGGTATGTACTTCAGAGTCAGGAAAAACTGGCTCCAGCCCTGATTCCTTTTGTTACTAGGTGGGTGACTTGAAGCCTCAGGGGTAAAATGGGGCTTGTAGTATTTCCCCCTGAGGATTGTTGTGACAAATAAAAGAGGTAATTGACACAGAGCTCCAACCACAGTGCCTGGCACAAGAAAGGGAGTTGTTTTTAATTGGAGGCTAATTGCTTAACAATATTGTGGTGTTTTTTTCTTTTTTTTTTTTTTTACCATACATTGACATGAATCAGCCATGGGTGTACATGTGTCCCCCATCCTGAACCCCACTTCCACCTCCCTCCCCAGCTTATCCCAAATAAATAAATTAATTAGTTAAAAAAATCACTTAATTACAAGAACAAGTTTAGCAGGCATAAAGAGGTTTGAGGACAAACAGCACAGAACAGGTTTGGGGATGAAAACAACTCAGGTTGTTGGAGAAGATGTACATGAAGGTGCTACAGAGAAGCTTCTGGTTTCAAATGTTCAACATGCTGCGGGCACCCACCAGACTGCCCTGTATAAGTACTGGAAGCTTCATTTAAGCTGCTGAACTGGCTAAGAGAATGTCTTCTACTGTGTCAATATAGATATTGATAACGTTTATTGAGCACCTATTATGTGTCAGGCACTGTGCTAAGCATGTAGCTTGCATTGTATAACTGAATGTCCACAATCTGCGAGGCAAATATTATCATCTTCATTTTACCTACAAGGAAACCAAGGCCCAGAGAAGTACTCAAGCAATTTATCCAAAGTTTCACCACTGAGAGGTGGCAGAGCTGAGATTTTTAAGTTGGTGTGAATCCAAAGCCTGTCTCCCCTCTTCCTGTCCACACTGGCTCTGCAAATGAATATTAAATAAAGGGTGTAACAAGAATAAAATACAGAAGTGAAAAAAAAAAAGAAAGGGAGTTGTTGTGGCTGCAGCTAAATCACAGTAGCTTCAATTGTTTGTTCTCTTAGGAGCTTATCCTTGCCAACTCATTCGATCGCTCCAAGGCCTAATGGTTGAGCAGAACATTTTCCTGGCCGTTGCAGAAAGAACAAAACAGAACACAGTCCCTGGCTTCAAAAGGCTGGCAATCTAATGAGGGAGACTGTGAGAACTGAGAACCAAAGTGAATAAGAATGCAAACACTCACCAACTAGAAGAATGGTAAATTCCACAGACTTGATGATAATCCTAGGCAAAAGTTCTAGAAGTAGATGGTTAAGTCAACGATGTGTCAGCAATTTGGGAAGGAAGCAGGGACAAGCTTACCTCCTTAGATTCCACCGTTAGGTTCTGTTGACTGCATGTCCTGGGCCATGTCTAGGCCTGGTAAAGGTGCTCGGGCTAAAGATGGAGTTCCTGCTCTCATGGAGTGTCTAGTCTGGCAGGGACATTAAATATTAATTAAGGAATGACAGGAAAGGATTTGAGTGTTAAGATAAAAAAAGCACTGGGGGCTGCAAAGCAGAGACACCCATAACTTTACACCAATGGGTGTGTATTAGGTATACTGTTGATACTTTGTATTCTGAATTAGACTCACATTACCATGCCAATAAAATTAGTTCCACATATTCTCTGTAACTACTGCCAGTATTGTGTTTTATGGATTTACTGCAAACCATTGAGCCAAACATTTTGTATGATGGACATTTGTATTATTTCTTCTGATCGTCTTTCTTTTTGTATTGGATTTCTGATGACCTTTCATTTGAAATGATGAAAATAAGTAACAAAAGCAAAATGGTAATAGAATTTCTTTCTGTTTGCATTTGTTGTCCTGAAGTTTATGAAATAAATAAAACTTCAAAAGGAATAAAAAATTTTAAAGTTTCATACAATTCTTTTTATTTTTATTTTTTGGCTGCACTGAGCAGCATGCAGGATCTTCGTTCCCTGACCAAGGATGGAACCCATGCCTCCTGCCTTGGAAGCATGGAGTCTTAACCTTGGACTGCCTGGGAAGTTCCTCATTGAATTTTTATTTGGCAGAGAATCCTAACATATCTTTAAAAAAAAACTTTTATTATTTATTTATTTGGCTGAGAGGTTTTTTTTTTTAAAAATTATTTATTTTTGGTTGTGCTGGGTCTTCCTTGCTGCCTATGGGCTTTTCTCTAGTTGTAGGGGTCTCCTCTCTAGTTATGCTGTGCCGACTTCTCATTGCGGTGGCTTCTCTTGTTGGCAACCGCGGGCTCTAGGGTGACCAGGCTCCAGAATGTGTGGCTTCCAAGCTCCAGAGCACGGTAGTTGTGGCACATGGGCTTAGTTGCTCCATGGTCTGTGGGCTCTTCCAGGATGAGCAGCAGCACCTAGCCTCACTCACCGCCGCAGTCCTGATGGGATGAAGTCCCGGTTTTGCTGCCAGGCCTTCGAGAACCCGAGGCGCGGCACACTTAGGGCCGGTGAGGCTGGCTTCCTGCTGCAGAAACCGCTGAAGCCGTCTCGGGGAGGGGCTCCCCTTACCTGGCTGTGTGAATAAGCCGGGAAGCTGCCAGCAGGGCCTTCGTGAGTCAGGACTACGGATAACCTGGGGAGTGATGGGCACCGGCCTGCCCCCTGAGTCAGGCTGCCGGGGAGTAGCGGCTAGCGCTCCGAGGCTCATTTCCTGGAGGCCTGCGGGTGGATCAGCGTGTTGTGTCAGGAGCACTGGGGCACACACTCCTTCCAGGAATCTGTGCGGTTCTGTGGTCGGCGCCCATGTGGATTAGACTGTATGCCTCTCCTGCAAGGCTTGCTAAGGGCGTCTTCTGCTGGGATTTCTCCTAAAAGGGATTGCAGGCACCTGAGACATATCTCCAACTCTACCACTTTGCAGATCTGGAGACTGATGTGAGACCTGGAGAAGTTTCCTAAAGTCATCCCAGCGATTTAACAACAGAAAGGCAGTAACATCCTAGCCAGGGGCGAAGTGATGCCCACCACGTGAGCGCTCTCATTTATCAATGGTCTGAAATACTATCAAACCAGTGGGATAAATCAGGGTTTTAGTCTTGCCTTGCCACCCATTAGCTGTGAGACCTCGGACCTGTCAGCCTGACTGACTCTCAGTTTCATCTGTATAATATATCATTTGCTGTGTTCTATGCATCACTATTCTAATTATTGTGCATGCATCAAGCCATTTAATTCTCAAAATAACCCAATGAGGAAGGTACTATTGTGAACCCCACTTAAAGATGATAAAATTGAGGCACAGAGAGATCAATTCATGTGACTATCAAGTGGCAGAACCTTGATAAGAACACAGGGAGTTAGGCTTTAGAATTCATGCTATAATCACTGTGTTAGGTGGACTCTGACCCCCTGGTTGCCAGCTTATTTTTATAAAGGCTCTGTGAAAGTATCCTGAAAATTCAGGTATCAGGGTAGGACAAAAGACTTGGTTGTTAACATAATTTTATTTTCCAAGGCTTAAATAAATAAAAAGAAGTTAGAGGGAGAACTTACAGGTTAAAAGAGATTTAAGACACCTAAACAATTACAACTTTTGGACCTTATTTGGGTCCTGCTTCAAATAAACAAATTGTTAAAGAAAATACAACCGGGGAAATATAAACACTGACTGGATATTTGATGATACTAAGTAATTATTGTAAATATGGTGATAAATGATTTTAACAAAAAGATAAAGATGGATTCAGAGATAGTTGCTGAAATATTTACAGGTTATATGTTGTCTGGGATTTACTTCAAAATAATCAGAGGATGGGGAGTGGGAATATAGATGAAGCAAGATTGTCCATTGTTTAAGCATCATTGTTTAATAATGATCTAAGCTGGGTGATGGGTGTATTTGGGTTTACGATGTCAAAGCCCCATGGACCTACTGTTGGGAAGAATGACAGCTGATAGGGAGAGGGGGGTCAGATGCCTTTTCGGAGAT